AAGATTTAAATGCCGCTCAACATAAGTCTAAAAAGTAATTTTATGAAATGAGGAAAAAAAAATTTTAAAAGCTATGACAAGCTGGTCATCGTACTTTTAGCAGTAGGTATTCATTTTCCTTCTCGATGAAAGTTGTTTTCCCCTTACTTTACTATGCACTTAAACTTAGTGTATATTTAATCTTTTTTTTTACATATTTCAAAACTGTTTCATTCCGACTCAACCACCTAAAAACGATTTATTTTGTTCCATAAAAGGTTTCGGAAGATGGGAATGTTAGCATTTCGGTATTAAGCATTACACCGACACGTGAAGATCACGGCAAGGCGTTATCGTGTCGCGCTACAAATGAACTGGTGCGAAATGGCATACGTGAAACGGCTATGAAACTGAATGTTTTCTGTAAGTATACTTTTATAGCTTTATAAAGTAATACTTGCCTTTCTTACAGCACATGCATACATACTATATAAAGAGTTCCTTTAACACTGATGAATAGAATAATATTTACAGCCGATTTCACCAGCAATTTAAATGGAAATGATTTTTTATTTCCTGTCAATTTCCATACAAAATACAAAAAAATAAAATCATTTTTCACTTAAATTGCTTTCGTGAAATTGGCTGTTAACAAATGAATGAATTTGGTATATGAGTAAAACGGTAAACTATGTTTATTTGTTCAAAATTTCGTAATATCTGACTGTCCATGAAAATATAGTAATGCGATCAATGACAAGTTAAAGCCACCGTCTTCTTCTTCTTATTTGGCACTATAACCGTTTGTCGGTTTGGGCCGAGACAAAAAACGTCGCCAGTTGCCTCTCTCCTTTTCAGATTTATGCCAGCTGTTAATCCCAAGTGCGGACAGGTCCTTCTGTATTTGGTCCTTCTATTGTGTTCGTGGGCGCCCTTGCTTCCGTTGTCCACCCATGGGTACGGAATCTAAGGATATTTTCAATGAAGCGTCGTCATTCATGCGTACAACATGTCTAAGCTAGCGCTTCGTTGAATTTTTATGCGCTTAACTATGTCCATGTCGTTAAAATGCTCGCACGGTTTGTCATTACATCTTCTTCGGTACTTGTCGCCCACACGACCGACATCATGTGAGATTTTTAGAGCATGATTTTAGTTCGTCGAAAGAGGGATCTGCTTTTCAAATGCCTACCTAGCCCAAAGTACCACCTGTTGGAAAGAGTTATTCTTCGCTTTATCTTTAGACTGATATTATTGGTGGTGTTTATGGTGGATCCTAAGTAAACACAACCTTCACTACTTCAAAGTTATGACTGCCAACAGTGACGTGTCTTGTCCTCGATCACCGCCAAACCAACCTCATTAGCTTCGTTTTCTAAGCTTCGAAATGCTGCGCTGACATCCCAGGGTTTCAGGCCAACAACTCAATATCATATGCATATGCCAGCAGCATCATGCTTTTGCTGTAAATGGTGCCGCTGCAATTCAGATTGGCAGCTCTTATAATGCTTTCCAGCATTAGTTTGCTGGTATACCAAATTTAAGCATAGCATCGTATAGGCAGCTTCTCTTCGTGCTACCAAAACAAGACTTAAAATGTACAAAAAGATGGCATGTATCGATTTGCATATCGAGTGTCGTTTCCAAAATTTGACGCGCTGTGAAAATCTGGTCAATGGTGGACTAACCAGGTTTGAATCCACACTGATAAGACGCAATCAGTTGGTTCGTGAAAGGCTTCAGTCTTTCACTTAATATAGTCGAAAGGCATTGTATACAATATTTAGAAGGCCTATTCCGCGATAATTGGCTCAAAACGGCGGGATCTCCCTTCATGTGGATTGTGCAAACTACACTGAGATTTCAATCTTCAGACCAAATTCTGCTTAATAGCTTGTACAGTTGAAGAGTTTCATTTTTAAGCAGGATTTAGATTGGATTCCAAAATTTCTTGACTGTCTTTTTTGAATGCAGCTTCTCGACGTCGAACTTTCGCCGCATATCCCGGCGCCCATTCTTCATTGCACAGACGCACATGCGGACCTTGGCTGCAACAAGGTAGTGATACGAGTCGATGTGACAGCGTATCTTCCGTTTATCACAACATGATCTATTTCGTTCTTCGTTCTTTGATCAGGGGACTCTCAATTAGCTTTATGGATGATGCGATGTTGGTGTCTGGTACTACTAACAATCATATTCCGTGATGCGGCAAAGTCGATCAGGCTCTCTCCGTTGTCGGAGGAGTTGTCATGAAGGCTGAATATTCCAACTGTTGAACCAAAAATGTCTTCCTTGCCCAGCTTGTCGTTAAAGTCGCCCAGCACGATTATAACATCGTGGCGAGGGCAGCGCTCATATGAGCTACTCTTTGGCTTCACCGTCCTTCTTCTCCAGCGGGGCGTGGGCACAAATGAGGCTCACTTCGTTAAATTTGGCTTTGATCCGGACCGTGGCGATTCGTTTACTGATGGGAGTGGGCGAGGTGTCGTAGTCTCCGCCCAACCACAATTCCCACACTCCATCTCGGGGCAGTTGTAATAGATGTCGCACGCTACATATTTTTTTCGAGGACATCCAAGGTACCAGACATCCGCCGTGGAATGCTGTTTTCAGTTATCAGTTAGGTTCACCAGGTCTAAATATGTTTAAATCTAAAATTGGAGAGCTGATGGGCCTTACATTAGCCAGTCCATGCCGCTCACGTTTATTTAGGAGAGTCTTCGTTAAGGAGATATTTGCAGGTACCAATGGTCACATAATGGGCAGGGTTTAGTTTCCTACAAACTGAGAAATGGGACTTAATTTCCAAAAAGGCTAGATTAAACTAAGTGATTGAGTAATTAACACCATTGGAAATAGCCAAAGATTCGCTAGAAATGTATTAAAAAAGTTCCCCGCTTATTCCATAGACTTCAGGGAGTAACTTAAATTGATAACTTTAAGCAAGGTAATAGCTACATCCACCCCATTCCCAATAAGCCCGGAAAGCGGTTACTGTATAAACTATTTTTGAACTGCCTTCCAGAACGTCAATCATGATGTCTTCCTGATAAAATTAGAAACAAGTATTTCGAAAAGCTTCCAGCAAACACAACATTTACGCTAATGACATATTTATGCTAAAAAAATAATATTATGTCTCCTTATGCTTTAGTTAGTTGCTAAAACATTGACTCAAAGGCACGCTTACGCACACTTGTGTACACAAGCTTGTACCTTCCAAATTCATATACATATGTACATGTGTATGCATACTTGCACATACATATACATTTGTATTATATGCTTGCAGAGATGATTTTGAAGCACTCAACTTGATTGGCTATAAAATGCATTGTTATAGCGCACCATCGGCGTTGTCTCTTTTTCAATTTAAAGGTCTGCAAGCAAAACAAACGAAAAATGCGGAAATGTGAAGCAAAAGCTATAACAAAGTAACATGTATTAAAAAAAATAAAAAAAAATTGGAAATTTTTACGCTTTACAAGCTTTGTTATTGTATTAAAGATGGTAAAGATCTAGTGAAGTGAAGATTTTGTGATATGCAGAAGTACGCTATTGTCACATAGTATGTGAGCTTCTCAAAGTTTACGCGGCAGCAAAAGTGCTTGGAGATATATACAGGATGTGAAAAAATGATATCACCTTGTGTATGTACATATATGTTTGAGCAAGCATAGTCGATACAAAATGTTTCTTTTCGTAGCAAATTTAACAAAGCAAAAACTTTGAGTTTATTTAAGCACCCTGTATCAGTTTACGTATTGCTAATAACTATAAAATGTAAAATGCTCTTGCTATTTTCGCATCCATACGCACATACACACATACTCGTACATACAAATTTGTTCAAAGTGTTATGAAGCCATAACATCAAATAAGCGGCAGGAAAATTTAGAAAAAGCAACACAAAATTATGTATCAGCGGCAAATTCCTTTCGATCTAACTATGCATGCCTTTCGCGGCTTAGAACTTCGATATTTTGTTGGATAATATCGCTGCTTTTATTATAGCATACTTTTCAGCGCTTTGACACTTCATTTTTGTATAAGCGATATATGTACCCTTTGGCTGTCACCAAATGCCGATGAGTGCATGCTGTTTTTGGGTAGTTGGATCTACCCAGCAGTGAAAGGCAAAACTACACAAAGGACATGTTAGTGGACTAAATGGTATAAACTGATGCAAAGACTGATTAGTTCGTTAATTTCTGGCAGCAGATGTGAAGGCTGTTCAGTCGATGATCATGCATTTTTAGCAGCGCTAATTTGCAGGGCAAATATGGCTAACAGGCCTAACCAGTGTTTTGTAAGACAAATGAAAGACAGTTGTCAAGAGAGTTCGAAAGACTTTTGTTATTCTAGCACAAGATTCTTAGAAAAAAAGCTCTCTCACTTACCACTCTGAAAAGCACTTGTACATCATCGCATCACTCCAACAGTCGCAATGGCTGAGTGAGCAGAGCCGTACCGTTCCGTTCAAAAGAGCTGAGTTCGTGTCTCGGGCGGCAGATTTTTTTTTTTTCTTTTTTTTAATTAATATTTTTTCTTTTTCAATTAACTGAGAAGAAGAAGTTTTATTTAAATTTCATTTAATTAAAAGAAAAAATATTTATTTCAGCTATATTTGAATTTTTTTTACTTAATTTTTTTATTTTCCTATTACTTTTGATTGTTTTAAAAAGAAAAATATGCATACAGTTTTTTAATTAAAAAAGGACTTATTGCTAAAAAGCGAACAGTATAGAACTAAGACCTTCTGGTTAGCAGATCTTTCAATTACTCTTTCGAAAGACAGAAAAGTGCTTGCAATATAGTTCCAGAACTGACAAGTATCAGGGCCAAAGGATTTTCTCTTTCAAAAGACCGTGGTGAGTTGAAGAACAGTAGCCAGAATTTCCCTGTTACAGGTCTATTATGCACTGGTCACCAAAATTTTGTCACCCGTCAATAAAGTTCCTGTCAATTTTGAAACTCTTTTCGCTTTCTGTGCACTTCTTGCAACCGGTAAATTTGGTTACCCTTCCATAAGTTGGCAACGAAATATTGCTCCGCGGATTGGCGTGATGTTAAAGTATATTCCTGTTGGCTGGAAGCATGCTGAAGAATAGGCTACCAGTTGACACTTCTTTGGACACGTCCATATAAAAAATACGCTTATAACACTGAAAACATATCACTGGAACTAATTAAGCTCCAAATCAAACTGGTAATAAACCAGTACAGAATTAGTACCTTCCACTGCAGGTTATTCATATACAAACTTATATGTTTATATATAAGCACGATTGTATGTACATCCATGCATAATTTCGCATTTGTGTATGTATTTCTGTTCATTTGTGCATACAACGCCGGCATGTGATAGCGCGTGCTCGTCGGCTCGCCTCGCCTCGTCTTCGAAGATGTTAAATTAGATAACATTTTCAATTTCCTTGCTCATTTACATGAACATTTCTCCTTTTGCAAGCTGATTTCGCAGGTCTTTGTAAGAAGAAAAGACACACAGGAATAAATGAAAGAAAACGGAAATCAGTAGCAGACATCTGTGGTGATGTGCGTTTATTGAAAAGCATATGCGTGCATACTTTAAAACCTTAAGTTAAAAATAATACTCGTGCTCAGAGATTGTTTTTCGTAAAGAAAAACAGTTTTTATTGACAAAAAAAAA